TAAACTGTGGTCAATGACATGAGACAAAGTATATGTGAACTGCTGTATGGAAAGTGAATTTGCTCTGTAAATCTTCACCCAAATCACAATAATTAAGGAAGAAAGGGAGGGAAGGGAGGGGAGGGAGGGAGGGACGGAGGAAGGAAGGAAGGAAGGAAGGAAGGAAGCCATCTCTTCCTGAGTTCTGTAAGGGAGGGATATTTTATCCTAAACATAGCATTTTCTAATGTCTGTTGGAAGAACACTAATTTACACAATGCTCATCAATAGATAACAAGCATGGTTCTATGGCCGGTATGGATTACACAACAACATATAGAAAACAAAAATACTCACAACTGGGCCAAAAAGCATCATCATGATAAATGGAGAAAAAATTTCAGTTTTCAAATATTTCATTTTACTTGGATCCACAATCAACACACATGGAAGCAGCAGTCAATTAATCAGATGTTGCAATGCACTGTGCAAATGTGCTGCAAAGGACCCCTTCAAATGGTTAAACAGCAAAGATGTCACTTTGAAGATTAAGGTGTGACTGATCCAATCCATGGTATTTTCAGTCATCTCATAACACATGTAAAAGCTGGGCAATGAATAAGGAAAATCAAAGAAGAATTGATACCTTTGAAATTATGGTGTTGGTGAAGAATACCGAAAATAGCATGGGCTGTCAGAAGAATGAATAAATCTGTCCTGGAAGAAGTACAGCCAGAATTCTCTTAAAAGCAAGAATGGCCAGATTTCATCTCACCTACTTTGGTCATGTTGTCAGAAGGGACTAGTTTTGGAGAAGGCTATCATGCTTGGTAAAGTAGAGGGTCAGTAAAAAATAAGACGACCCTCAATGAGATGGATTGACACAGTGGATGCAACAAAGAGCTCAAGTACAACAAGGATTGTGAAGATGCACAGAACCGGGCAATGTTTCACTCTGTTGTCACTATGAATTAGAGCCAAGACAATGGCGCTTAAAAACAACATGGTCATGCAATGCACAATCATCCCCTTCTTGGGATCTTCAAATGCACACTACCACAATCAAGCCAAAAGCAATCCAATTTAACGTTGCTTAACACAGGTTTCCCAATAGCATATGATCATAGAACCCTTGGGAACAATAGCACATGATCAAAGAAACATTCCCTTAAAGAGAAGAGGATATAGGTATGCATCACTTAACATCTACAACATGTTCTGTGAAATAAGACATTGTGTGATTTGGACATTGTGTGAACACCATACTAAAACCTTATGAGAACCTACTTCCAGTCGTCCTTGTCAGCAGCCAAGCAAGAGGAAGTGAACTGGGAAAGAGTGGAAAATGCCCAGTCCCTCATACTCACTCACCTGCCAAACAAAGCCCTAGAATCCACACCCAGAGGCATGTTCTCTGCCTCACCTGCCTGTATCCCACCTATGGTCCCATACTACAAGAGTCTGTGTTGGGAACCTTTGAAACCATTCATGGATGGTTTGGTCCAATGGTTCTACTCTAAGAGAAAATACCACAAACAGATTTATTCACTTAGCTGTTTAGTAGGTTAGAAGTCTGAGTTTAAAGTCCCAACTCTAGGGGCTATGGGAAAGCCTGTTGACCTTGGGCTTCAGCTCTGCCTCTTGCTTCTGGCCCACTGAAGCTGGAGGCTTCTCTTAATTCAGACAGCTGTTGGCTGCTGAGGCTGACAAACCCAAAGTCAACAAGTTAAACGGCACAGTCTGAAAATTATCAAGCAATACAGCAGACCACTAATTCAAGTCTGTTAAGAGTCCCCAGATCGGCAGGCAACATGGCAGTCCTCTGAGATGAAGACTCAGCCAAATGCAGGCTCCAGATGTGTCAAAAGCTAGAGACCATTCTCAAAGCTTCTCCTTACACACTGGAAGCAGACCACATCCTAAGGCAGCTTACTAGTTGCTCCAGTAGATTCCACCATGAAGTTGATTACCAGTCTTATTATGGAGAATTACCACATCCAGCTGCCCAGCCACTCAAAACCAGGCCAAGCCAACATGACACACAACCTTAACTACCACAGACAGAAATAATAAATAAAAGAAGAGCTGCTTTCCCCCTTTATTAAAAAAAAAAAAAATCTTGTGAGATCACGGATGTATGAGCAACTAGACATTGCCTGAATGGACATTAGGCAACACATACTTGTACCTGGATGCAGGTAGTTTCCTACTGGGTAGTAGAAAACAGAGTCGATGTCTATATATTAGTAAATTTTTAAAACCTCAACTTAAATGCAATTCTACCACTTTTGGGCTCAATTTCATAAATCATTTCTTAATCCTTTGTCTTACACAAGTTGGTGGCTTTAACAAACAGAAATTTATTTTCTCAGTTTGTTGTTGTTGCTGTAAGGTGCTGTTGAGTCAGTTTCAACTCACAGTGACCCTATGTACAACAGAATGAAACATGGCTCAGTCCTATGCCATCCCCACAATCATTGCTCTGCTTGAGCCCACTGTTGCAGCCACTGTGTCCATCCATCTCATTGAAGGTCTTCCCCTTTTTTGCTGACCCTATGACGTCCTTTCTTCTGAAACTGGTCCCTCCTGACAACATGAACAAAGCATAAAAGGCGAATTATCGCCATCCTCATTTCTAAGGAGCATTCTGGCTGTACTTTATCCAAGACAGGTTAGTTTGTTCTTCTGACAATCCATGGTATACTCAATATTCTTTACCAACATCATAACTCAATTACATCAATTCCTCTTCAGTCTTCCTTATTTGCTGCCCAGCTCTCACATGCATGTAAGGCTAATGAAAATATCATGGCTTGGGTCAGGTGCACCTTAGTTGTTAGCGACATCATTGTCCTTAAATGCTTTAAAGACATCTTTCACAGCACATTTGCCCAATGCAATACATCACTTGATTTCTTGACTGCTGCTTCTATGGATACTGTATGTGGGTCCAAGTAAAATGAAATCTTTGACAACTCCAATCTCTTCTCCATTTATCATGATGCTGCTTATTGGTCCAGTTCTGAGGATTTTAGTTTTCTTTATGTTAAGGTGTAATCTATACTGAAGGCTACAATCTTTGATCTTTATCAGTAAATGCGTCAAGTTCTCTTCCCTTTCAGCAAACAATGTTGTGTCACCTGCATATCAAAGGTTGTTAAGGAATTTTTCTCCAATTCTGATGCTATGTTCTTATACATACAGTCCAACTTCTTGCATTATTGGCTCAGCACACAGCTGAGTAAGTATGATGAAGGAATACAACCCTGATGCACACCTTTCCTAATTTATAACCATGTAGTTTTCCCTTGTTGTTTTGAACCACTGCCTCTCTGTCTGTATACAGTGCCATCATGAGCCCAATTAAGTGTTCTGGAATTCCCATTCTTTGCAATATTATCCATAATTTGCTATGATCCACCCAGTCAAATGCCTTTGCATAAAGGCAAATAAAGCACAAAGTCAATAAAACACAGGTAAATATCTTTCCGGCATCCTCTGCTTTCAGCCAAGAGCCATCTGACATCAGCAATAATAGACCTCATTCCACACCCTCTTCTGAATCTAGCTTGCATTTCTGGCATAACCTTGTCTGTGTATGTCTGCAACTGTTTTTGAATTATTTTCAGCAAAATTTTATTGTGGGTGATATTAACGATATTGTTGGATAATTTCTGCATTCTGTTGGATCACCGTTCTTTGAGATGAGCACTAATATGGATCTCTTCCAGTGTGGAGGTGGTGTTGTTATGTGCCGTCAAGTCGGACCTGACTCATAGCAACCCCTCCTTGGGATTCCTGCAGCAGTATCGCTACGGAAGTAGATTGCCCCATCTTCCTTCCGAGGAGTAGCCGGTGGGTTTGGTTAAGGTTAGCAGTCAGGTGCCTTAAGCACTATGCTTCTTGTTGTTGTTGTTGTTGTGTGCCGTTGAGTCAGACCCTACCCATAGCGACCCCTCCTTGGGTTTCCGAGGCAGTATCACTATGGAAGTAGATTGCCCCATCTTCTTTCCGAGGAGTGGCTGGTGGGTTTGAACCGCCAGCCTTCTGGTTAGCAGTCAAGTGCCTTAGCCACTATGCTACCAGAGCTCCCAAGCACTATGCTTGTTATTGTTGTTGTTATTTGCCGTCGAGTCGGCCCTGACTCATAGCGACCCCTCCTTGGGTTTCCGAGGCAGTATCACTACGGAAGTAGGATTGCCCAACCTTCCTTCCGAGGAGTGGCTGGTGGGTTTGAACCGCCAGCCTTCTGGTTAGCAGTCAAGTGCCTTAGCCACTATGCTACCAGAGCTCCCAAGCACTATGCTAGGAGGATAGAATTCTGAATTCAGGGTGCAACTATAGGGGAAGACTTTCTCTCTCTGCCCTCTGTTGGCTCTGGAGGAAGGTCCTTGTTCCCTGGCAACTTGGTGATCTTCTTGTAGCCTGGCATCTATCTTCCTCCATTACTTGCTTGTGTAAGCATTTTTATATCTCAAAAGAGATTGACTCATGACACACCCTACCCTAATCTTGTCTCATTAACATAAAAAAGACAACCTATTCCCAAAGAAGATTATAACCACAGGCAGAAAGGTTAGGATTTACTATACATATTTCAGGGGGACACAGTTCAATCCATAATATCATTAAATGTATCTTTTTGGTCCCAAACTGAACAGATTTAATAAACTAAGCAAATAAATATTTATCACTTACCAGCCATATGAATGGTACCAGCAGTGTCCATACAAAGGGGGGTAGAATTCCATATGTCAAATTGGTTAACACTGTACCTGGGCACACAACACTGGAATACAGACCCTAGGGGCAAAGGAAGTGACAGCAATAAGATTCTAACTCCAGGTATACTGACTCAGTCCTAATCATATGGTAGTTGATAAAGGAGAAACACATATGAGCCAGGAATCCAGGAGATAAAGTATCTATGCTCTGAATTATCCTTAAAACTAAGTACACAATTTCAATTTAAGAATCATGGATTGAAAGCCAACTAGGAGAGGCACTCAAGATGCAAATACTAGTAAGATGAAGTCTCTATTGTCAAGAAACTTAGTGTACAGAAAATGGGCAACTGAACTTGAAGCTGGAGTAGAAAAAGGAGAGCCTGGTTTACTCTGGGTTTTCAATGGAATTAGCTGAACTGGAGATCAGCCAATGAAAATGAAAACTTTAAGATAAGATGTATATAGTATAGTCCTTGCCTTCAAGAAGTTTCTTGTCTAGCAAACACAGATCAAAACCTAAAGTGCCTGTTTTCCTGAAGGTATTTTAGACTTCTAGCTTGAGACAGGAGGTCTTGACATAAGAGAGGAACAAAGGGCTGTGTGGGTCCACAAAGACCTTCTCCAACTGAAGATGTCTAAATTGCCCCTTAGCCTAGGACTCTGTCATTTTAGAAAGTTATAGAGAGAGCCCAATTAACACAAAGCTTATGCCAACAGAAAGGGCCCTGTGTGATCTTTAGTAATCCCTGAACCCTGGAATTTGTTTTACTATTTTATTTAGTTTAATTTTCACTATACTTTACCTTATTTTGATGTCAACCATTTAAATTCATACTTCATTATTTTAAATACAAAATAGGAAGTAGAAGTATAATATATTCAAAGGACACACAGCAGCCCAAGCAAAAGAAGCTAGATTTTCTTCCTTTATCCAGTGCTCCAGAGGCTTGGAGGTGCCTGACACAGATCACCCAATTCCTCAGGGCCCCCTTGATTTACCAAAGTCCTCTGAAAAGTTAAGAGCCCAGACTCTCCCTCATTATAGACTAAACTCTTCTCCTAAGAAACTCACATACTTTGCCCCAAAGATAGTTGAGGGAGATTTCTTATTCTTGGAACTATTCAGCACTAATTGAGGAAATCTGTGAACTAAAATCCAAGGTTCCAAGATATAGGACTTTCTAACATTGAACAACAAGAGAAATAAACAAGAAGACAGTGTCATCCAAGGCTGAAATCCTTCCACATATTTAATTATCAGGAATAATCTGGTACTCCTGAGTATTTCTAGTTAAAATTCACCAGTCAGCCTGGCAGAACTTGTCATTTCCAGTAATATGAGGCTTCAAAAGGAATCCCCTCATGCCCTCATGTTGTTCTCTCCTAGCTTCACAAAGGTAAGTGAGAAGTCACGGGTGGAGAATCATGCCTAACGGAGATTTTAGGAGGGAGCAGCGACAGCTACGTCTCTGTTTTTCATAAAAGATAATATTCCAAACCTCATTTGACAATTGAGACTTAAGTAAAATCCTAGAGTTTTATAAGTAAGCAGAAGCTAATCTACTCTATAAAAGGGAGTTTCCAAAGTACCAGAAAACAGTTCTTAAACATCTCTAAGAAATCTCATTACAAGGCTCATAAATGAATCCACACACTGAGCTCACAACAGTAGCCAATATACAAATACACACATGCACATACAAAAGCAGGCTATGGACACATGCGTACCATACAGAGACTTATACATATAACACATATGCACTCACACACATGTGCACATATACATATACACACAGACAGCCACAAAATCCATCCATTTGCACAAGCATATGTAAACCCACGAGCATGTGCATGATCACAAGCACAAACACCCCCCACACACACACAAGCACATTCTTAGCATGAGGCACTGCTGTATGTACTTCATGTGGATGCTCTCATTCAATCCTTCCATCAAACCTGTGAAGCAGGCACAAGTATTATCCCTATCTTTCAGATGAGAAAATTGAGGCACAGAGAGAGGAAATAATGTGCCTAAGCTTACAAAGCTAGTGAGAAAGCCAGGATCTAAAGCCAGTTCTAGAGGCTATAATCTTAGCTTCTACTTTTTACCACCTTTCGTACTCAGACGCATTATTTCAAGAACCAGACTACACAAGTGAGAGTTGCAGCTACTAAGGTCTCCATTCCAGAATTAACCAGGTCTAGACCATTACATAAGGTTTACATTTCCATATCTAGCTCAGGATCAAGGAGGCTTCTTAAGGACAGAGAGAGTTTCTTGGTCATTCTTTGTCACTCCTTTCTCCTGGAACCTAGGTCTGGCCCTAAACATGGTAGGTCTTCTGCAAATGTTAGTGGAATTATACTTCAGCACACCACATAATCAAAGCAAATAAAGGAAAACACCCATGGGAAAGACTAGGGATATTTAGTTAAGATTTTAGAGCTGGACAACAGATACACAAATAGAAGCATTAAGTTCCAGACCAGAATGGCCACAAGGAGTCAGCATCACTGATCAGTGTCATCTTCTCCAAAGAAACACCCTTTAAGCTCACAATCCTCAGCTCTGGAGTCTTACCAAAAATCATCACCATTCAGAGGCTTTCTAACTACCTATAAGATATAAGATCTGATATTATAGGATCTGATGTGATAAACATTGGGAGGCAGTGTGGTTTAGTGGGAAATGTCTAAGCTATAAAATCAGACAGACATGAGCTCAACTTTGAGCTCTACCACTTAATAATCATGTGTCCTTGAACAAATTATTTAATTTCTTTAAACATTAGTGTTCTTATCTGAAAATAGAGATAATCAGATCTACTTCACTATGACAGGAGAGGTAGTAAGTGACATACAGAACTTGAAACGTAGCTAATAATTAAGTAACAGCTACTATTATTGTTATTGATGTCTTTCTGTTACATAAATTATAAATCCTGAAGAGTTACAGAATGGTGAACAAACCACGTATACCTAAGAGGGCAGGAGTGAATTAAAATGTTCACTTATATCATCTATCAATCTCATCCAGCCACTTCTCAGAAGGAAGGTTGGGCAATCCTACTTCCGTAGTGATACTGCCTCGGAAACCCAAGGAGGGGTCACTATGAGTCGGGGCTGACTCGACGGCACATAACAGCAACAACAACATCAATCTCATTTATATCTTATCTTGTCCCCATAGCAATTTTGCTCAAGAAAAAATACTGCACATTCTAAACTACCATAGCTTGTAAGGAGGCCAGCCATGTTACTAGGAAATCATCTGTAGTTGGTTAAGAAACCACTGCCCTGACATTTCCATATCAGATAAGTATCACCTGATGGTTGAAGTTTCTGTTCAAAGCCACACTCAAGAGGTCAGTGGCATATTTAGAAGAGCTGTATGGTTCATGGCCTTTGCTATGCTGGAAGTCTTCAAGGGTGAAGTTAGACTTCTTTGCATTGCGAGATGACGTCCAGATGAGTCTAGATGGATGGTCACTGTGACAGAGGAGAGATTCTAGTTCCCGAAACTGAGTGGGGAGGAAAAAAGAAACAAAAATGTATCAAAATCTACTGGAACAGCACCAGAAAACAATTTTGAAACCGCTATACATGTATATAAGGAGCTATGGTGGCACAGTACATACAGCCACCATTTGGCTGCTAACTACAAGGTCAGCAGGTCAAACCCACCAGCTGATCTGGGGGAGGAAGATGAGGCAAAGTACTTCCATGAAGATTTATAGCCTTGGAAACCTAAAGAGGTTGCTATGAGTCAGAATCAATTCAATGGCAGTGGGTTGGAGGACAGTGGGAGCCAAGTTTTTCAATGTTGGCGTGGGAGGGTGCAGTGTGATGAATCATTTTTATAGGGCCTTTCTCACCATGGTCTTGTGACACCCACCAATGACTGGGTAGGACCATGCAAATAAGGTTCCTGGAAACCTAATGAGAGGAATGGCCAGTTACACCATCCTGCTAGGATGCAAATGAGCTATCCCAGAGGCAAGAAGGGAGGATATCCCTGACACCAAGAAAGAAAAGCTAGGAGTTGAGTGCATCCTTTGCACCCAGGACACCTTTACTAGAACCACCTAGACCCAGGAGACAGAAAGAGAGCTATAACTTCGAAGACGGAAAGAAACAGCAGCAGAGAAGTGGCAGCAATAGAGGCAGCAGAATGAGGAGACCAGCAGGAGATGGTGCAGTGGGCTTACAGGCCCACAAAACGAAAAAGCTGAGTGCCTTTGGGCAGAAGGCTTGCCAATCCATGGAGCAGAAAGCTAAGTGCTTTTGGGCTGAGGCTTACTGTGGAGTAGAGTGACCCTGGGCAATTACTGGCAGAGATAAAGAGCTTTGTAATGCCTGCCTAAATAGGACAAAGGCTAGGCCATAGGACCAAAGGGCCAAGGGCCAGAGAGAGGACTACCTGCAGGCATGGCTGAGAAGCTACCCAATCAGAGAATTGCCTTTTCTGATCCTGAGTTGTAACCTGTTACTTCCCTAATAAACCCCATAATCATGAGCATGGTCTGTGAGTTGTGTGTGGCCAATGAAATGAATTATCAAAGCCAGCACAGAACAGTACAGAGGGCTGTGGGAGGGATGGCTGGTGTGAGAATTGGTAAAAAGTTGGAGAGAGGAGGTATGTCTGACTTCCACCTCATAAGAGTCAGCTTTGGGCTAATAATCATAGTGATTCTCTCTGCCCATTGTGAAGTTAGAGGAAGTCAGCACCTCTACATGCCACTTTTACAGAAGTTACAGATAACTAAAGGGAAGAGGCCAGACTGATACAGGTGGCAATGGATTTAAGTTGATAACATCATTATGAACTCATATTCTTTATATATTTAATATAGATAAAATGGTTACATATAAAAATATTTATATATATGTATTATGGATTGAACTGTGTCCCCAAAAATGTGGCAACTTGGTTAGACTATGATTCTCCGTATTGTGTGATTAACCTCCATTTTGTGATCTGACGTAATTATCCTATGTGCTGTAAATCTTACTTTTTTACGTTAATGAGGCAGGACTAATGGTACTTATATTAATAAGGCAGGATACAATCTACAAGATTAGGTTGTATTTTGAGTCTATCTCTTTTGAGTTACAGAAGAGATTAAACAAGCAAGCAGAGGGACCTCAGTACCACCAAGAAAGCAGAGTGTGCAGGTGAGCACATCCTTTGGACCCAGAGTCCTTACACTGTGAACCTCCAAGTCCCAGAGGAAGACTGATGCCAAGACACATGGAGATCTCTAAGGGATGTCATGCCCATAGATGTTGAAAAGAAACAAGGATATTCTCCCAGAGCTGACACAGAGAGAAAACCTTCTCCTAGAGCTGGCACCCTGAATTTGGACTTCTAGCCTCCTAAGCTGTGAGAGAATAAATTTGTTTGTTAATGCCATCCACTGTGGTATTTATGTTATAACCGCAACAGACAACTAAGACAATATGTATATGGGTTAATATGCACATATATAGTCATGTTCTATCAGCTGACAGTCTACAAGCAACAGCAATGTGCACAATTAGCACCCTTATGCTGGTTTCTCATACTGTTCTCCAATAAAAGCAACAAAGGTGCCTTGGTGAAATAGCTAACACCTGATTCTAGGACTGGCGCAGAAAACATACAAGATGAGTCTAGATAAAAGAAAATTGAAATAGCTCCCAATGGCCAAAGCCTGCATAATATGAACAACAAAATAAAATAGTATTTACAATATAAAGTGTAAAATAAAAATAAATCCATCTGGATACAAATAAATTAAGAAATAAGTGAAGGATAATAGATAGTAAGCCAGCCCTGGGACCAGTGGAAGGCAAGTGTTTGTGTGTACGGAGCCACCCTAGGGGCAGGATGCACTAAGCCAGCCCTAGGACTGGGGGAAGGCAGTTTGCTTGTGTGGAGCACCCCAGGGTTAGGCTGCTGTAAGCCAGCCTAGGACCAGAGGAAGGCAAGTATCTGCCCTGGGGGCCGGCTGGGCAAGCAAGCAGGGCAGGGGAGACCAGGAAATGAGCAGAGAAGTTTGGAACAGCTAGAGGAGACAAACTTGTCTGTCAGTTAGTCATACTAGGGTGATTTGAGTGTTGCTGTGAGGCTGGAGGCTATGCCACAGGTTTTTCAAACGCCAGCAGGGTTAGCCACGGTGGACAGGTTTCAGCAGAGCTTCCAATCCAGACTAAGATTTGGAAGAAGGAAGAGACCATCCACTTCTCAAAGAATTCTCCAGTGAAAACCTTATGAATAGCAGTGAAACACTGTCTGATATATTACTGGAAAACTTGATGAATAGCCCTGAAACACTGTGCGATATAGTGCTGGAAGATGAGCCCCTCCGGTGGGAAGGCACTCAAAATATGACTGGAGAAAAGCTGCCTCCTCAGAGTAGAGCCAACCTTAATGATGGAGATAAAGTAAAGCTTTCAGGACCCCCATCTGCTGATGTGACACGTCTCAACACGAGAAGAAATAGCTGCAAGCATCCATTAATAATTGGAACATGGAATGTATGAAGTATAAATCTAGGAAAATTGGAAGTTGTCAAAAATTAAATGGAATGCATAAAGATGGCTATCCTAGGCATTAGTGAGATGAAATGGACCAGTTTTCGCCATTTTGAATCAGACAACCACATGATCTACGATGCCAGGAATGACAAATTGAAGAGGAATGGCATGGCATTAATCATCACAAAGAATACATCAAGATCTATCCTGAAGTATAATGCTGTCAGTGATAGGATAATATCAATACATCTACAAGGAAGACCAGTTAATACTACTAATATTCAAATTTATGCACCAACCACCAAAGCCAAAGATGAGGAAACTGAAGATTATTACCAACTTCCGCAGTCTGAAATTGACCAAACATGCAATCAAGATGTGTTAATTATCACTGGTGATTGGAATGCAAAAGTTGGAAACAAAGAAGAATCACCGGTAGTTGGTAAATATGGCCTTGGTGATAGAAATGATGCTGGGGATCACATGACAGAATTTTGTAAGACCAACAACTTAATCATTGCAAATATCTTTTTTTTTCAACAACACAAATGGCAGCTATACACATAGACTTCACCAAATGGAGTATATAGGAATCAGATTGACTATATCTGTGGCAGGAGGCAAGGGAGAAGCTCAATATCTTCAGCCCAAACAAGGCCAGGGCCTGATTGTGGAACAGACCACCAAATGCTCATATGCAAGTTCAAGTTAAAGCTGAAGACAATTAAAACAAGTCCACAAGAGCCAAAATATGACTTTGAATATATTCCTCTTCAATTTAGAGACCATCTAAAGAGTAGATTTGATGCATCAAACACCAATGACAGAAAACCAGAATTGTAGGATGACATCAAGAACATCATCCATGAAGAAAGAAAAAGGTCATTAAAAAGACAAGAAAGAAAGAAAAGACCAAAATGGATGTCAGAAGAGACTCTGAAACTTGCCCTTGAACGGAGTAGCTAAAGCAAATGAAAGAATTGACAGGACAAAAGAACTAAACAGATTTCAAAATGCTGCTCAAGAAGACAAAGTCAATTATTATAATGAAATGTGCAAAGACCCAGAGTTAGAACAGCAAAAGGGAATAACACGCCTGGCATTTCTCCAGCTGAAAGAACTGAGGGAAAAACTTAAGCCTCAAATTGCAATACTTAAAGATTCCATGGGCAGTATGCTGAATGATGCAGGAAACATCAAGAGAAGATAGATGGAATATACAGAGTCACTATACCAAGAATTAGTAGATGATCATCCATTTCAGGAGGTGGCATATGATCAAGAACCAATGGTACTGAAGGAAGAAGTCCAAGCTGCACTGAAGGAATTGGCAAAAAACAAGGCTCTGGGAATTGGCGGAATACCCATTGAGATATTTGAACAAATGGATGTTGTGCTGGAGGCACTCACTCAGCTATGCCAAGAAATTTGGAAGATAGCTACCTGGCCAATTGACTGGAAGAGATTCATATGTGTACCCATTCCAAAGAAAGGTGATCCCACAGAATGTGGAAATTATTGAACAATATCACTGATATGACATGCAAGTAAAATCTTACTGAAAATATTTCAAAAACAGTTTCAGAAATGTATAGACAGAGAACTTCCAGAAATGCAAGCTGGATTCAGAAGGGGACATGGAATGAGGGATATCATAGCTGATGTCAGATAGATCTTGGCTCAAAGCAAAGAATACAGGAAGATGTTTACTTGTGTTTTATTGACTATGCAAAGGCATTCAATTGTGTGGGAACAAGGGGATACTGCACAGTTTAAAATCAGGAAGGGAGTGTGTCAGGGTTGTAACCTATCACCCTACTTATTCAATTTGTATGCTGAGCAAATAATCTGAGAAGTTGAACTATATAAAGAAGAATGTGGCATCAGGATTGGAGGAAGGCTCATTACAACCTGAGATGCGCAGATGACACAACTTAGCTTGATGAAAGTGAGGATGATGTGAAGCACTTACTGATGAAGATTAAAGACTACAGTCTGCAAT